AGTCATTGCCAAGGCAAAGTCAGAGCACATAGGCAGAATTGGCGAGAGACTAGTTCGTCTTCCTTCTGGAACCCGTGCATTCTGGTCTCTCGCCAAGGCTGTCCAAGGGAATTTCTGTCAGCCATCTCTTCCATCTCTGCACAGGGAGGACGACTCACTGGCCCACACCGCAAAGGAGAAAGCCGATCTTCTAGGCTCTTTCTTTGCGTCTAACTCGACTCTCGATGCCGGGGGAGTACGCCGCCGACCATCCCGCGGTGTGAGTGCTCCATGCCGGAAGTGCAGTTCACTCAGCGCTCGGTTCGCAAAGCACTCCTCTCCCTGGACATCCATAAGTCGAGTGGGCCTGATGGAATCCCCCCCAATTGTGCTGAGGACGTGTGCTCCAGAGTTGGCACCGGTTTTAACGCGTCTTTTCCGGTACTCCTACTCCCTAGGCGTAGTCCCAAAATCATGGAAGACGGCTTTCGTCCACCCGATCCCTAAAAAAAGGCGACCGCTCAGACCCGTCCAACTACCGGCCTATCGCCATCACCTCCTTGTTCTCCAAAACAATGGAGTCCATTGTAAACTGCCAGCTCATGAGGTACCTTGAGGATCACCAGCTGATTAGTGACCGCCGATACGGTTTTCGCCGTGGTAGGTCAGCTGGTGATCTTCTGGTCTACCTAACTCACAGATGGGCGGAGGCAGTAGAGTCCAAGGGGGAGGCATTGGCCGTTAGTTTGGACATTGCGAAGGCCTTCGATCGGGTTTGGCACAAAGCGCTTCTTTCGAAGCTCCCTTCCTATGGGCTTCCCGAGAAATTGTGCGATTGGATCACCAGTTTTCTTGCAGATCGGAGCATCAAGGTCGTTGTAGACGGTGCAAGCTCCGATTGCAAGCTTATTAATGCTGGTGTTCCACAGGGCTGCGTGCTATCGCCAACGCTGTTTCTTCTGCATATCAATGATATGTTGCAAACCCGTAGCATTCATTGCTATGCAGATGACAGCACTGGTGATGCTCTTTACACCGGCCGAGCCAATATTTCTCGGGAAAACGTCTTTGAGTGCCGGGACAAATTTGTGTCTGAAGTCGAGTCTCTGCTGGACAGAGTCTCGGATTGGGGGCGACTAAATCTAGTCCAGTTTAACCCCCAGAAGACACAAGTTTGCGCGTTAACCGCTAAAAAGAACCCCTTTGTCGTATCCCCTCAGTTTCAAGGCACTCCCCTTGTTGCCTCAGCCAGTATCGGAATCCTCGGCGTCGACATATCGAGTGACGTGCAGTTTCGTGGTCACTTGGAAGGGAAGGCCAAATTGGCCTCTAAAAAGCTTGGCGTGCTCAGCAGAGCGGGACAGTATTTCATGCCGGCACACCGCCTGCAACTTTACAAGGCGCAGGTTCGGCCGCTCATGGAATACTGTTCCCATCTCTGGGCTGGGGCTCCCCAGTACCAGCTCCTTCCACTTGACCGCATCCAGCGCAGAGCGGCTCGAATCGTTGACGACCGAGTGCTTTCCGATCGGCTCGATTCACTGGCGCTGCGAAGAGATGTTGCATCTCTTTGCGTATTTTATCGCATCTATCACGGGGAGTGCTCTGAGGAATTGTTCGGATTAATCCCAGCCGCCAAATTTCGTGAACGCACTACACGGCAAACGTCCCGATACCATCCACACCATCTGGATGCTTGGCGGTCCACCACTGTACGTTTCAAAAGGAGTTTTCTTCCGCGTACAACCTCTCTGTGGAATAATTTACCACCGGTGATTTTTCCGGACCGATACGACCTGGGGACCTTCAAGAAAAGAGCTTACTCCTTTCTAAAGGGCCGGCAACGCACCTGCAATTCCCCTGGTGTTGCGGTTGATCATGGGCGGCGGTAGTCACTTAACATCAGGTGAGCCACATGCTCGTTTGCCCCCTCTGCTATAAAAAAAAAAAAAAAAAAAAAAAAAAAACATAATGATTTCTTATATCTACGCGAACACTACACATTGATTAAAACTATTTTTACGGATTTTATCGCGTTTATTTTACTATTGTTTTTATTTCCCGACGTTTCGGGCGCTTTCCAGCACCCATGGTCACGGGGGGACTGAGATGAATGACGTCCCGATGTCATTGTTAAACCCGGAGTACCTTCAGCTTTTTTAATTATTGTTTATGGTCCTATCTATGCAAAATGAACTGACTATGTCCTGGGGTCTTGCAGTGGTATGCTTGGACGTTGATTCTTGTCGCTGCTCTGAGTATTTCACGTCTGACCTAATAGAGATGGTTACACCGAATTTTAACTGATTTATCAATAACTTTTTTAATTCAAAACGTTTTGCGCGGAACTTTAATTCGTTTTCTAATACAAATATAGCCTATGTTACTACTTATAACATCAGCTACTCGTATATTTCAGTGAAAGTCCCTTAAAAATCAGTCCAGCTGTTCCGGAGACAAGCCGGAACAAACAGACAGGCAGACAAAAAAATAATTGTTTTTTTGTTATAAGTACCGTATATACTTGCATATGCATTTAGTAAAAAGCTGTTATTTTGACCTTACAAACAGACGCCTCAATTTGTTAATTAGTATAGAGAACAACTTGCCCAAAGACCAATGTTACGGATTTGTAGGTTTTTTTGTTTCAGTACTACTACGGATGTAACTGCGGGAAAAAGCTAGTATTTTTTTATTTTTGATGTATCCGAGGCGTAGTGGCTATGCAATAAGTTGCAGTGCTTAGGGCCGCAGGTTTGAATTCCGCACGGAACAAGAATTTTATGACTTACAAATAATTATTCTGGCTCTGGATTTTAGCACTCGAAAACAACTTGTTGGATTTTTACATACATAATTTGTAAAGTGCCCCCGAGATACAGGAGAAAAGTTGAAGTTCAAATCCAAAAGTTTTTTATATAAAAAACAATATTATAATGTAACTAACTGAACAAAATCAGCTACAAATTGCAGAACTTTTGTCACGCATTTGACCTTGCAAAAAATGTTTGTTAAAACATCATTTTAGACAAAGTATTTAAGTAAACTGACAAACGGATATAGAAACGGACAACGCAATTTCGCAAAGTAACGCAATTCTTTTAATGAATGAAAACCGAAAACGCTGTCGTGTATCCAATTTCATTTACTCGTAGCAACAAAGGATGCGGTCGAGTGGGTACAATTTATACAACATGTCCGGGTTGATTTTACAATAATACCGTGACTTAATTTACGTAAGGTTTATAATGTTTTGAAATAAAAGCACAAGGACAAAGCGGGTTCTTTTTACAATGGAATATGTGTGTGTTTTCTAGAGGACAAACAATTAATTTAAGTCTGTTTACATAAAGACAAATGTTGTAATACGTTTGAAGACTTTTTCATAGAATACAGACGAGCACACAGTCCACCTGATAGTAAAGACATGCTAAGACACAAAGACATTTATTTTACATCTGTCTTCGATTAGGAATCAAAATAATGACGCGTTTTCTCTCCTAATTACTTAGATGGAGTGCCTCGTTTCTAGTCATTTCATAGCAGCATTGCTATGTACGCTGGTAATCTGTAAATTGCTATATTCGTAGAAAAAATATGACATAAACAAATTAAAAATTGTAATTGCATGAATATCTTGACATAATAGTTCAAGTATTCTACTTTTATACTCAGTCACGTTGCAGTCCTTAGCTGCGCAGACTTGATTGTATAGTGACGGCGTAATAGAATCCACTGGCACATAAAATTCTATGTGTGTCTTAAAAGATGATAGGAGGAAACTGAAACAGGAGATGTGTAATACTATCTTCCTTATGACAGTCCATCCGACAAAGTGGCTATTATTCAAATCTATTATATTCTACTCTATTCTTTGACGAGGTATATACTACCATCTACTGAAAATCATTCAAGACTTTTTTGAAATTTTGGTATGAAATTAAAAATTTAGATAACACAAAGTAGTTGCACAAAAATAGTTGAAAATAAAATAAAATAACGTATAGTGGTGGTGTAAGCATTTTCACTACCCCACATTATCCCTGGTCGTAGAAATTACAGAAGGAAAAAATCAGGAGATGGGTAGCAGCGACTTCCTAATAACAACTAAAAATAAAAAATGCGTTAGGCAAACGTGGCCACTATGGGACGTATAATGCCATCTCTGAGGGAGGACTGTGTTCAGCAGTGGACTTTAATAGGTTGTAACGGGAACGGTATGAAATAAAATTCCATTAAATTCTTATAACTTTTGGCAGGACGATGAATTAAGTTCAAACAAAATTGATACTTTGATAATGTGTAAATTGAAATATCTGGAATATTAAATTATTTATAACTATAATCAATAAATTTCTTTAAAATATTTTTATTGATTTTTTATAAAATAATACAAAATCCAGAGAAAACTATACAAAAGCTGAGAGTTTTTTTTTTTTGGTTAGAAAATGTTTGCAGTAATCTCGTCTTTGTGAGAAATATATATATATATATATATATATATATATATATATATATATTTTTATATATATTACTTATACATAAATAATATAACATAAATAGTTGTCTGCATGTAATTGCTGTCAACAATGATACCGGTCCATTGCATACTTTTGAACGAAATTATAAACATAAACACTCACGCCTGTCACCCAGAGGGGTAGGCAGAGACTACGGACTTCCATTTGGCACGATCCTGACACACCTCTCTCGCCTCTTCCACATCCATATACCCACGCATACATGCTCGTCGATTAACCCTAGGATGGTAACAGGGGTGCCCCAACACCCCACGCCAGCAATCACGCGCCAATTTATTGGAAATTATTTGCTCTCTCGCTCTAGTATTTTGTGTATTTTTTGTTTTACCGTGAGTAATTAGTAGCCGTTGCGCGGTGGGAGCGGCAACACGTCGATTTCGTTCTGCAGGTATGTGTGGGGTGTTGCGTCACCTCTGTTACTATTTACGTAGTTATTTTATTTTGTTACTGTATTTTTTTATATGTTATTTTCAGTTCATTATGGCGTTTCGTAATGATGAAGAGCTTGAGCGGTACCTAAATAATATGGTCGAGGATGATGATAGTGAAACAGAGCCATTAGAGGCGGAGGAGGCTTCTGAAAACGAAGATAACGTGTCCGTGCATTCCGAACAAGACGACATTATTTCCGGCTCAGATGAAGATGATGTGCCACAGCTTCGAGGGAGTGTTTTGAAAGGTAAGAATGGACATGTTTGGTCTATTTCTGCCCCGTCATCAAGCAGAACACCTCAGCGTAATATAGTAACCATCCAAAGGTCTTCGGAAGTCCGTTCTAATATTGAAATAGAAAAAGAAGCTTTTATGATTTTGTTCTCTAAACCTCTCGACATAGTACTTACATACACAAACCAAGAAATTAGTAGACGTGCTCCCAAATATAAAGACCAACGTTTTACTCATAAAACAGACAAAACAGAGATCGAGGCACTCATAGGGCTACTATTTTATGCCGCGGTAAACAAAAATATTAAAAAAAGTGCAACTGAAATGTGGGCGCCCACGAGTACCCCTGTATACGAGTCAATAATGTCCGAGAGTCGGTTTCATTTTCTGCTACTTTGCCTAAGATTTGATGATAAGGACAGCCGTAATAAAGAGGATAAATATGCACCTATTCGAGAAGCATGGAAGATTTTTATAAACAGTTGCACAAAAGCGTACCAACCACGCTGTTACGTTACGATTGATGAGCAACTGTTTGGTTTTCGAGGAAAATGTCCCTTTCGTGTTTATATATCTTCGAAACCGGACAAATATGGTATGAAAATTGTGGCCATATGTGACGCTAAAACATATTATATGTTTGACGCAATTCCTTACATAGGAAAAGAAACCGAGGCGAAGACGGCAGCAGACTACGCACAAAGTTAGCTGAGAGCATCAAAGGTTCTGGACGAAACATAACCTTTGATAATTGGTTCACCTCGGTGCCTCTTGCAGACCAGTTACTGAAGGAATATCGACTTACTTGTATTGGAACTTTACGTAAAAATAAACGTGAGATACCACCTGCTTTCCTACCGAATAAATCAAAGTCTGCTTTGTCCTCTCAGTTTGCATTTGATCGCGAGAAAACGTTAGTCTCCTTTACTCCAAAGGTAAACAAATCGGTGATATTGCTATCCACTATGCACAATAAGGAAGAGATCAATCCTACAACGTATAAGCCAGTTATAATTGATGACTACAATGCGACAAAGGGAGGCGTCGATACCTTTGACAAAATGATGCACAATTACACGATTGCGAGGGGTAATCGACGCTGGCCGCTTAGGTTTTTTTTCGGTATGTTAGATCAAGCAGGGATCAACTCTATGATTCTCTATCTAGAAGCTAAGCATCCAAACACGTCAAGTAGAAGAAGTAATTTCTTAAAAAAAAACTAGCAATGCAGCTAGCCGAGCCGCACATGAGACGACGCCTGGAGTCAAATTTACCTCGACAACTATCGGGAAATATAAGAGCCAATCTAAATGTCCCCGAAGAAGTTCCAGCATGTGAACCCCCCGCCAAATTGCAAAAACAAGCTCGATGTGCATTGTGTCCTCGAAAAAATGACAAAAAGTGAAGATTTTTTGTTCAAAATGCAGAAGACCTGCGTGCCCTTAACATCGTGTGGAAATTTGTCTCAGTTGTGTTTAAGTTGCCATAAAACATTTTTATTAAATCTAATTTCTTTTAGTTACTGATTGATCTAAAGAAAAGTGTTCTTTAAGTTTGTTTCAAAAATAAAAAGTTTAATTTTTCATTAAATAAAAGTTTTTTATTCATTTTATTATCATGGGGTGACGTGACACCCCTGTTACCATGTGTGTTCATTTAAATTATGTTACCATCGTAGGGTTAAGGGTACTCTTAATTTGGCCCATTTTTAGTATATCGCCAATTTGGTCGACAAACTTCCGCCTACGACGTTCCTTCCCGACTCTTCCATTCACTTTTGCAACATATGTTTGCTTTGTCAGTCTTTCCGCATTCATTCTTTCTACATGACCAAACCACCGAAGCATTCCTTTCTTAATCCTGGTCACTTCATCATCTTGCAAACCACACTCTTCTTTTATAACACACTTTCTAACCCTGTCACTCAGATTCAGCCCTAACATACTCCTTGGGGACCGCATTTCTACTGCATTTATTCTACTCTCGTGCTTCTTCTGTCACACCCAACATTCACTACATACGTTAAAGTAGGGACTAATACAGCATTGTGAATTTCCATACGTGCGTTTTTTGACACATTCTGACTTTTCACTATAGAGTGTAGAGCCCCATTTACTTTATTTCATGCATTCACTCGTCGTTCAATATCCTTATCATATCTCCCATCCCTGCTGAATATATATAATTTCTGTACATTTTGTGTTATGGTGTATATTATTATGATGTTATTATAATAACATATAATATATTATTATAATGTGAAATAAGTAAATAAAAATCATTCATATGATGAGAAAAATATGCATGAATAAAATATTATATCGAGTTTTGCCAGGAACTTAAGCGGCGGTGGATTGGTGTTCCTGTAATATTGTTAAATACTGGTTTGAAGTAGATTTTGATACGCCAAAGTGGTTCGATTTCGTGTGTCAAAAATGTCTGTGCATTTGAACTTTATATCGAAACGAAACAATAATGAACCAAGTGCTCCGATTGTGATGTGACCATCAAGATAATGTATCAGCTTAGTTAGCTTGAGCTAATATCGTCATCGATTGCCTGCTGACCCTAACTGCCGTCAATATACCCAAAAGACTACACAATGTGATGTATCAACTTATTATAAAGAAAATTTTAAACAAATATAATATAGATTTTTGCTTATTATTCTTGATTCTGGCAAAGGTACACTAGTACAAGTCCATTAGCAAACAAAAAAATTATATGTTAAATATTTATATTATTAATTTTCAAAAACACTGTAGTAAATGTGCGATATAATGTTTTATAACTATAAAACGAATTTATACATAAATAATAAAAATAACGTAAGTCACTAAATAAAAAAAAGAGTTAAAAAAATTTACACAAAAAAAATAGCTTCAACATTTAAGTAGAGTTTAACAATGTAAAATAACAATAAAAATACGACAAGGGTAAGACGCGTTTAAAAAGTACGGCCGATATCGTAAAACGATCAAATTACTGCCACAAACCAGCTGAGATAGAAGTCTTTAACAATTTTATTTCTTTTATACGATTGTAAATGTCGAGGTTATTCAAATGAATACTTCTAAAAGTGAATTTACATATTATGGTAGAGGTGGATTGATATATACGTAAACATTCCTGACTTTCACCTAGAGGAGTAGGCAAAGACTACGAATATTTTTGTGTAGAATGAGGGTGTGACAAAAGAACACAGAGTCCATCTGATAGAAAGTAGATGGAGTGATATTCTGTGAGAGTGCAACTCCGGGTCTGGCCTCTATTCGGGGGTTATAACCATAAAATAGCCGCAACATTAACGTACCACGGATATAATCCCACCTGATGGTAAGTAATGATGTAGCCGAAGATATCTACGAGTTTGTCGGTTAGAGTTACTGTTAATTTAGTCTATATTCACCACATTACCAATTTGGTAATGTGGTGAATATAGACTAATAGCCGTGGTAGATCGGTGGTTAACGCTCGCTGTAAATATAACAGAACGCGAGAGTAACCCGGGTTCGATCCCCGCCGCCACCAATGAAATTGTTAATTGCAATTTTAAGTGCTGATTTACCACGTGCTCGGCGGGGAAGGAAAACATCGTGAGGAAACCTGCATGTCTGAAAAAAATATTTCGAAGACATGTGAAGTTCGTCAACACGCATTTGGGCAGCGCGGCGGACACTTCCTTGCCCTAAACCCTCTCAGAAATGAGGGGAGGCCTGAGCCCAGCAGTGGTACGTATATAGGCTGAAACTTTACTTTTACTTTACTACCAATTTGATCGATATACTTTTCGTTTAAGATGTGTCTTGCGGTCGCTGCCACTAATGTTTGCATCATTAATTGCTTTTACTTTGTTACTTTTTCCATTGTTCGTGTTATTTTATTTAAGTACATCATTCATCTTAAGATGAACATGGACAAAACAAACATCATGTTTAATGTCCATGTCACACCTATGCCGGTAGTTGTTGGGAGCACTAAGCTCGAAGTTGTTGACGAGTACGTTTACCTGGGACGAATAGTCCGACTAGGTAAGACCAACTTCGACCGAGAGATCAATTGACGGATTCAACTCGGCTGGGCAGCGTTCGGGAAATTACGACACATCTTCTCGTCAGGTATATCTGAAAATCTGATAACTAAGTTGTACAGCCAGTGCGTGTTGCCAGTGATGACCTACAGAACCAAGACATGGACTTTCACTACTGGCCGTATGAGGACGCTCAAAGTCGCCCAGCGAGCTATAGAGGGGGCTATGCTCGGAGCTTCTCTGCGTGCTAAACTTAGAAATGAAGATATCCGCAGTAGAACCAGAGTGACCGACATAGCCCAACGGATTAGTAAGCTGAAGTGGCAATGGGCCGGCCATATAGCTCGAAGAACCGACAACCGTTGGGGAAAAAAGCTTCTCGAGTGGCAGCCTCGTACCGGTAGGTGAAGTGTAGGGCGACCCCACTAGATGGAGCGACGACCTGGTAAGACATGCAGGAAGTCGATGGATGCAGGTGGCTCAGGACCGTGCTTTGTGGTATACCTTGGGGGAGGCCTATGTTCAGCAGTAGACTTGTGAAGGGCTGTAATGATGATATGATGATGATGATGATGACATCATTTGTGTTATTTCTATTTAAAAATAGTGATATGCCAACTGTTGATTCTGTGCTTCGATTATCAACATCATCAGAGGCTATTAAAAGTGCTGTCCGTCGTCGCCTAGCAGGATGGTTGGCAACAGCAAGTTTATTATTTTGAGTTTATAAGAGACACACGCTGATACTGATATCTCTCCTTTCATTTCCTTCTCACCTCTTATGACACCCATGTCATGACATGAGCTAGTGTATACTCTTACGCTGCCACCACGTTATAAGTTAGGCAAATCAAAATTATTCCTTTCATGAGCTAATGATGACGATGAAGAAGAAGAACGGTATTTACAAATAGTTTTTACGAAAAATATAGAAAACTGTCATGTCTTTAATAAATTGATGAAAGTATAATTACTATATATCTACTATATATATATATATATATATATATATATATATATATATATATATTACCGTGGTGTATGTCTTATGTATATATATATACCAGTGGATAATTTAGAGTTCCGACAGTCCTAGGCTAACTAAGAGTATGCGCTCCCCCTACCGTGGTGTATGCCTAGTCCACGAATATTCCACTCCGCGATTTCACCCACATTAAATCAAATTTTCCTGATATTAAGTATCGACCATCGCGTATGAACAGCTGCAACACCACGGAAGTTGCAGGTTCGTTGCCGGCCTTTTTAAAAGGCGTAAGCTCGTTTCTTGAAGATTTCGTGAAACCTGGCAAATCTGCAACTTTTAGAAGGACTTCAAAGCTTATGATCAATTTTTCACAACATAAAAAATACTCTCACACTGAGCCTAAATGTTAAATGTGACATTATATTCTTCGTAGATTTAGTATTTAATACATAGAGATTTAAAAAAAAATACTAACTTTATATAGGCAAAAACTCAAAAATGGAAAACGGCAAGGTTACTTTGTGGAATCTTTGCAATCGGGGTTTTTAATGAAAATAAAAGTATTTAACTTCAAGAACGAGGGTAAGTTTACCACATAATACACAATATACAAAGTTATAATTGGTTTCTCTAATTTTGTTGCATATGAAACGTTATCATTTCAATAAAACTTTAAATAGCACTTTTATTTTTCGCTAATTAAATGAATAGTAAAACAAATGAAGAGGTCCGTGATTTCAAAATTTCTTGAATCTTTTTGTAGAAAAGTATGACCTTAAATAGCATAACCTAGCTTTAGTGGTTAGCAAAAAGCGTTTAGCCTAAAGCCTGTTGTGCTGTTGTGTTAAAGTTGATTTCATCATTCTGTACCTCACCATTTTCCTGTTACTTCCGGTCTCTGCAAATAACTCTGCTTCAATTTCGTGTCTGTTATTTAAAGTTTATAAATATTATCAAAACTCGTAACACAAAATACTGGCAGATCTTTCAATGCCAAGCCCAGTGAAAATTAGACTACTTATTCAAAATTTTCATAATATTTAGGAGGAATTAGTTTATTTTATGACGTTTTCGTATGTGACTGTGACGCATTTTCGACAAAAACGGTACTTTACACAATTATGCAAAACAATATTCTATGATCCTCTTTTACATAACTGGTTTCAAACATTTTCATTTACTGTAAATAAAAGAAGAAGCATAGAAAGAAAACTTGATACATTACATTTCAGCGACATTAAAAGAAGTCCAGTGAGTACCTTAAGGTCTAATAATCTAAGAACTTCAAAACTACGCGGCACACGTTCATTTAATAAATAAAATGATAGTTAATCATTTAGCTATTTGATAAAACTTTTAAGCGTGCCCGTTATAAATTAATGGTGATATTTGGGTCATGATACTGAAAATAGTCTATTAAACATTTTTAGTACAACTGTTCATCTTCAATATGATTGACCGTGTGTATGAATTTTATAAGCCTTTGCTATTTTTGATGAGAAATATTATTGCAGATAAAAGGTCTTTCTTTCACGGTAATTTAAACTCCAACTAAATTAAACACATAATAGAAATTCGAACTTTTTTATGATTTTTATACAGCACATCCCACCAACAATTTCCAATGAGGTGTAAAATGTTTCTAGCCATTTAAGAAAACATTTGTACATACTTGCTTTACAATATTTAACAGTAATAAAAAAGAAAAACATAGTATTCGGCATGAAAGTAAAAATGAATATTTTCGATTTTTTTTCTAATATCTAAACAGTCGGACCAGTTCGCGATTCAAATTTGTCTAGAATTTAGCAGGAGTGGCAGAAAAAAAGCTACTTGGTATAGAAGAGCAAAATAAATTATATAATTGAAAGTCTCTTTATTGAAAATAAAATCGTCTAATTGCTTTCCTAGCATGTGACGGATAATTGTACTCGATATACTAGACATTATTTTAAGAAAATCTGAGTAAGTTGAAAATTTGAGTATATTCAGAGGCCACTTTGCAATTATTTTCTATTGAGGGAATTTGTGAAATCGTGTTTTGAAAACCCCACCTGGCATACGCTCAATTGTAACTACAATTTTTTCGACAAGGATGTGAAATCACAAAACGATCTCCATGCAGCACAAATCAACCCTATTCAGACTCTTAATATGGACACACTTCAAGATTCAGGGATTTTAAAAGTTTTTATACGCAATTAGTGGAAAATATTATATATCTGTCCCGTGTCAAAGAGCCTTTATTGAAGTGAAAACTTCTTTAGCGGAGTTGTACACTTTTTTGTAATGGGTAAAAAATTTTAAACTCACGTGACCCTGATCGAAAATGCGTAAGACGGATGGAGAGAAAGAGATAGCCGGCGCGGCGTAGGAGATGAAATATCCCCCTCTCTTTCTACGGCGTGGTGAAATGTATGCCTGCGCCTGTATGCTGTGTCGTTTAGTTGTGGACGATAGCGCAATAAATAAATATTGTATTCTACCACATTAATGATAGTAATTTTATACTTATAATTAAAGCAATTCGTGCAAAATTATTCCCTAACCATTCCAAAATATCAAAAATGCACAACGTTAATATTCAAGTTTTCACTTCTGCCGGCACTCCCGGAGTGCAACCCGTCGTTTTTTTTATAAACATATTCCCATCACACGTAATACATTTTTATGATTTCTTATAAAAATGACATCTACTTAACATGCAATCTTTCACAGGGTAAATTTCTTTTTTTTTTTGCAATTCTAAGCCAGCGCTTAACTACAATCCCACCTGATAATAACTAATTATGTAGCACACACTCTCAATTGATAGTGGATCCTTAAAAACAGCGTTTAATTGTAATACGCACATGATTACAAAATTCAGCTTTAATATGAAACAGTAAATTTATATAGGTATTAAAAACTGTCAAAATTTTAGTAACGAGAGCGTGTTTGTCGTTCCACATCAAAATTATTTAAAAATACATTTTTCAATTTCATTCAACGTTGCGCCAAATATTTTTCTTCTTTGGGCCCTTAATTTAAATAAAAAAATTATTTATTTAGAAAATAATATTTATAGTTACCAATGTACATATATTAACTGAACTAAGTATTTCTATTCAAATGAATATTGGTAAATGAGTATTAAACTCTTCAAAAACTAAAATGTATTTGAACAAAGTCACTCCAATACCGACGCGTGGTCCAACCTCGACAATATCCTAAAACGAACTGCGAAGAGCTCGTGGGGATTACAGGGCGAAGGAGCAGGCACGCTTGCGGGATATATTCAATTTCTGGAGTAAAACGAGGAATAAAAATAAAACTCTCTATTAAAAATCTTGATATTTTTAAGATCTTTTTAGTGCAAAAACTATTCAAAGAGCTTGCACCATTATGGAGATATTTTGCAAAATATGACAAAAATTGGTAATATTTGGGGATTTTGTTTTCTAATAAGTGTTGGACAAAACTTAAAAACTTGTATCGGATCCTCGTATGTCATCATGTACTTTTTTGCGAATTAAATTTACAGATATTGTGATTTTCTTACCTAAATATCCGGGAATTTAGATATTTCACCTGCTGTTAGGACCTTAATAATCTATATGCAATAAATACTTCATATTTCTACATCCATATATAACTAGCAAAACTCGGCAGTATAGAAGTTGGTCTAGTGGTGAGTTACAACGATGTCGATAGCTAACCTCTCAAACTGCAAGCGATATTCCGTCAAAATACAAGAGTATGTGACCGTACCAACCCACAGCAATTTAACCCATCAAGACTTATGTTTGGAGACTACTTTTCTATGAAGCAATTTGTCATTACAGAATCAATACGAAATTTTCTATCCTCTACTGGAATAAAAAATCAGTTAGTTTATAAATATTTATTCATAATCTACGTTCATTTCGTACGCCATTATCAAGTGAATGTTATTGTGTTGCTTTTTGGATTTATCTGTTTTTTTTTTTGTATTTTAGTATAGTGTTTTATTATAAAATTGTAATGAAAGTATTTGTGTGAATATAATTTATCTTTTTACGTAAATAAATTCGAGAAATATATATATATATATATATATATATATATATATATATGTATATATTTATATATATATATATATATATATATATATATATATATATATATATATATATATATATATATATATATATGAATTGTTTTGTTATCAAAATACAATAAAATATTTTTGTAATGAAATAAAAGCTGACTTTTGTTTAGAACACAGGGTAGAGTACTTCGTATAGATTTTATAATGCCAGAATTCTCTACAGAAAAGTAGTCTTTAAATATAAGTTTCAATGATTTAAAGTGCTGTGGGTGGGTGCGGTCGCATGCGACCGCTCGGAATATGACGGACGCGTGCGAGTGCATGGGATTTTTATGGGGACTGCAGAGATAAAATCCTTTTCCATGAAAAGTACTTACTATATTTGACATCTTTCACGGTGATCGATCAAAAAGTGTCCAAGTATTACAGCTCAGGCAGACAATAAAAATAATAAAAAATAATAAAATAAAAAGAATATATATTTTGTATATTTTTTTTAATATTGGTAGTTAAACTCATCAAAGTCATAAATATTTTTGGCCCATCGCACCCGCTCATAAAAGGGCAATTAAAGTCCGATCTCGCATTGATTCCAGAAATCCCAGTACGAACGGCTCGATAAAGGCAGATTGCATGTAATTTATTACGGTAACGGGTGTTATGTATAAAACAATATTCGCTTATTTGTATATTAAGTTATTGTATAATAAGTACAAAACTGAATAAAATTTTTGAGGGAACGAAATATTAAAGGTTTCTTTCTACGACCCCAAGTTCAAGCTCTGCCAGCACTAATATAAGTACTGAGTATATATGTAATAAATTATAAATACTGAGTTACCAGGCGCTGGGTGGAGAAATTTATAGAATAAGACAGGATAGGATAGGATATGATATAATTGGATAGAATAGGATATGATAGGGTAGGACAGGATAAGATATGATAGGAAAGGGTAGGATAGAATAGCGTAGAATAAATTTTATTACGTATAGATTACAAGTGAAAGTATTTTTTTTACTTTTACCACTGATTTGGATAAAAATGGAATGGGAAGAACCAGCAAAAAACTCAGCGAGACTAAAACACGGGTTACACAAATTACTTACACAATTTATTGAAGAAACAGTATTAAAATGATCACTTCATTCACAAGGGTTATTATCGACAATTGTAACTGACCTCCATAAAAACTAGTGCGCTAGACTGGCTAAGTCCTTACAAAGACCTTTTGTGCGTTGTTATGCGTTTGTGCCGTTTTAAGCACCGTCCTTGAGTGTACTGGGAACTAAGAGTGATTGTTGTCATTATTACTAAAAAGTATTTTAAGATATATGTTCTCACACTATCCTATCTCTTTTAAAAAAATCCGTGGACGCTCACTTATGCTATCATCACCAAAATGGCGAAAATCAAATCGCCTCATTATGTCACGGTATATAGCCAGCGTACTGGTATATAATAGTAGTCAGTGTCAACTATTACAATCATTCATATTATAATACCATTTTCATTCAATTTTTAATTTGAATGGAGGTACCTTGTATATTTTCTGGGACTTTTTTGTAACATCGTATACATTGTCCAATGAATGAATAACTGATTATATGGAGTCTAAAACTAATATCACTAGCTCTTGTTTATACACGACAACAATTGGAGTTTCTTTTTTAATATAGAAATGTGGGACGGAACGTAAAGGAATGAAGTGACAGAATGAATGTGTGATAAAGATAGCAAGATGACAGTATGAAAGTGAGTGAAAGAGCAAGTATTTTAAATGAGTGAAAAATGAGCGAGTGACTGAATAAGAAGTAAGAATGAAGGGAAGTTAGATTTTAAGCACCAGCAAACGGGAAGCCATTGTGACAAGACGATATAGCTGTGAAGAGAGAGATTAAACCTACAAATCAAACAACAAGCTGTTTATTACAAGTTTTTCATTCCAAAAAAAAAAAACATATTCCACAAGAATTTTAAGGACTCTTCCGAGATTGAAACAGAGCAAAAAGAATTACGACGTTTACGACGACAACGACGGTTTGATTTTGAGGTTATCCACGTGGTGCACGCGGTTCATACTTTCGCTTCATGGGTTCAAGACGAAGACGTTCAATGGCAAAGTATTGAAGACGAGCTAGTCGTCAGGTGACATGACCGAGAGAACGAGATCGAGAACGAACGTGATGCTAGGTACGAGTTCGCCACAAGAGGTTGGCAGCAGTGAACGGATCAAACTTCATTCCGATACTGGACCAATCGTGAAACAGAGCGATTTGTTTTCGCAGGTTGGCAGCACTGAGAGCGAAGAAAATGGCAGCCGGCCATCTTTGATGTCAGTGAACGTAAACAAAAACCGACAAAAACCTACGAAAGATGTGTTATTATTTCTAAAGCGGTTCGAGGCTCTTATTGACTCCGGTAGTGATGAGAATTTGATGACAACCGACTGTGTAAATGCTATAGACGAACAGTATGAACAAAGCGACGAAATCCATGGACTTAGAGCGTCACAAATTAAAGCTATCGGCATGTTGCGTACGACGGTGTGTGTTGATAACAACAATT